ATCTCCCAAATACTTCTGAGGTCCCTTCTGTAAAGCACAGAAAACATACTGTTGCTTTGCAATTCAGAAGAAGAAGAAGAAGAAGGAGGAGGAGGAGGAGGAGGAGGAGGAGGAGGAGGAGGAGGAGAAGGGGAAGAGGAAGAAGAAGAAGAAGGTACCAAGTTCATTCTCTAAGTTGGGTTCAGAAAGGCTGGCAGTAGCCTCCAGCTCCTTGGAGGAAAGGCTTTTCCATAGTACTATTTGAAGACCCATATTCATCATAATACTTCAGCACAATTAGGCAAGCTGCTTAGTTGCTCCAAATATCTGTCTCTCTTTACAAAGTATCATTGAGGCCTGTCAAAGAAGTCTTGAGACACCCAGACCTCTCCTCTGTGAATGTCATTATGGTCAGAGACTTGGCACTGTGTTAATTACATTAGCTGGTTCAGGCCTGCGTAATCTCACCTGATTAACACTATTCCTTCCTCTTCTCTCTTCAGGCCCTCTGCCTAAATCTTTTTGTTCTTCTTTCACTTATTCACTTATTCATCCTGGCAAGAAATATCTACTGAGCTCCTCCTATGTGCCAGGCACTGTGCAGGTGCTAAACATATCATCAAGAAGCCAGGTAAAGTCCCTTCCTTGTAGATTTCCTTTACCTACCCTTCCCATGCCCTTCATCTTCGTGGGAGCAAAAAATGGTGGAAAGACCCTTCAGCTATAATTAGGTACCTGTATTCTTGTCCCAACTCTGCTACTAGTCTAGGGGGTGAGTCACTGAACCTCTCTGGATATAATTTTCCTCTTCTGTAAATAAAAGTGTTGAACAAGAACAGTTTCTAAGACTCTCTCACATTGACTTTTTTCAGTAGCTTCTAACTAGTATCCTTGTTTTCATTTTGCCCCCTCCCTCCCTACACATTTTATTCTAAGCACAGTAGCCAGACTAATCTTGTTAAAATGTTAAGTCAGAACTTGTTACTCCTCTGCTCGAAACCCTCCAATGGGTCTCACTCAAAAGTGAACCCAAAGTCCTTACTATGTCCTGGAGGTAGTGTATGCCCCAGCCCCCGAGCCTTCTCTAACCTGGTCCTCTCAACTTCACTCACTCCACCCAGGCACAATGGCCTCCTTGCTATTTCTCGCACACTCTAAGCATATTTCCCTCTCAGACTCTTTACATTTGCTTTCTGCACTGCCTGGAAAGCTCTCCTTCCCCTCCCCCCTCCCCGAGGTTCACATGGCTCATTCCCTCACTTCCTTCAGTCACTTGTTCAAATGTTTTTCTTCTTTTCAGAAAGCACACCCTGGTCTAACCACACTATATAAAATAGTGCCTCTATATCACTCTCTGCCCTGAGACCACTTTCTTCTCTTTAATCCTTATGATTGCCTAGTACATCATAAATTGCCTTTTTTTTATCTTCTGTCTCCCTCCACCGGGAGATACACTCCATTAGAATGAGGATCACTACCTGTTTTGTTCCCTGCTATATCCCCATTCCTTAGCACAGTGACTAACACATAGTAAATGCTCAATAAATATTTTGTGTCATTAATGAAAGAATGAATTGACTCTAGTAATAAGTCTCAGTATAGGTTAAAATGTATTCATACTTGGAAGGGTTCAAATCTGGCTACCTATAACGGGCCACTCAAGTATGGGAATTAGGCTACACAGAATACTTATCATAAGAAATGGACCATCTGCTGAAGCAAACTCATTCCATTCCATTGAGATTTCTGTTTCATAGCATGTAGTCACAATAAGATTAGACCTGAATGCCATTTCTTCTATGCAGCTTCTTGTGATGAGATGAAGGGATGTTACTCTCCCTGTTTGACTTAGGCCCAAAGAGATTCGGTCATTTACCCAACATCATCCAGCCTTTTTGAGGCAGAGATAAAATAAAAACATAAATCTCTGACCTCCAAGCCTGCAGGTAGTTTCGATAGTGACCTACAACAAGAGAGAAAGATCCGAGTATACCGCTTATGGGCATAAGAAATACACGAGATATGGGGTAAAAAGTGTAGATTCGCAACCATGAGGAGCTTTTCCCACTGAACCTCCAAAGTGATTTCATGTTCAGAAGTTCAAAGCACTGTTTCTCTTACATACTGTCATATCCCCAAGGCCCAGCACACTCTTACTTCATGTATGCTGATTAAATAAAAGTAAGGGCCTACTAGAAAACAGGTGCCCCCAGGCAATAATTACTCTTATCTCCAGAACAGCCCAAAGCCTTGGAGCCAGTCACACCCACTACAGCAGCAGCAGCAGCAACAGCAACAACAACAACAACAACACACACACACACACACACACCACACCACATCCCTTCAAGGAAAAGAAAAAGTAACTTCTACATGCTGCATCCCACCTGCCCACACAATCGCTTCCTAGCCAGGTAAGGAACAAGCACAAAGTTGTGACATCACAGTTTGTTTCAGTACCTTCAGGGGTACAAAAATGTCACAGATAGGTGCATACATATATGTCTTTGTGGACAGAGACCATTTACAAACACAAATGTGTAAATAAACATATGCACCACACATTTGCTTCAGAATTAGGGTGGCTACGGATCACAAATCAATTTGTACACATAGAAATATACACGTTTGTCTTGCCCAAGCTACTCACAAATGTACACAAATGCATTCACAAGGATAATATTTATGTCAAGGTATTACTGTGAGAAGTAGATGACATTATGGGAAGTGCACAATAGTACCTGATATGTAAAAAGCATGCTAGTAAATGTTAGTGATACATATGGGTGGGTAGGTAGGTAGGTAGGTAGGTAGATAGATAATATAAATTTTTATCAGACTCCTATGAAAATCCACCTTTAAAGCAAAATTTCCTTTTCAGTCACTACTCAAACTCATGGAAATTCTAAGCAGCCCATTACTGTTCCAGTGTGTGGAAGCCAATAAAAGAGAGTAATGTGGGGTGTGTAACAGTGGTGTGGGGGGTGGGGGTGGGAGAAATCCCTGTTGGTAGGAGGCTGGAGAACAAAGCTTTCCAGGCTTCTTCAGGGAGAAAGCCTGGGCTTGGAGAGACCTGAACTGTTAAGAACTATTCTAGGGAAAATCAACCTCCAAAAACTCAAAAGAAGGCATTCCTAACGCTGCTGAGAAAGAGGGAAGGGTTGTCCCCACTTGGTAGGCTAGGAGGGAGAGACCCCAGAGTCCCAGCCAGTTCAAATCAGCCAGAAAATCCTGCAAGGCTATTAATCCACTAAATTCTGGGAGCTTGGAGAAAATCTGATTAACTCCACCTCCCCAGCTGGGCTCTAGAGTGAACTCTATAGCTAGCTGGTTTCTGAGACTCAAATAAGATGGGAAAGAGAGAAGCAGGAGGAAGAGAAAAAAGGAAGCAGGAGTGGTTAAGTACTAGATACCTGTGTGTATAGCTTGGCTCAATCATTGTTTTGGAACAAGACACAGCTCTCTTAGGCTCTGTTGCCGTAGGTTGTGAAATGTAAATAAAACTGTCTCCTGTCCTGTTGGAAGATTGCATATCTTCCTTATCTCCCCTAAGGGCTCCAACAGTGAGGCCAGGACTGCTCCCTCTGGACCCTGGGAAGTGCTCAAGGAATTTCTCCTGTATTTTCCCATTGCAGTGGCCCAGGGGAAGAGAAGCAGTCTTTTATGGGCCAGACGTCTTTTTGAAACCTCTCCTTTACTTCTGTACCAAGTATTAAAACTTCAGAGCTCTAAAGAAACTCAGGGATCCGGTTCAATTCTTCCCTTTTAAGATGGTATGCTGAGCCCAGAGGCAGGTCCGAACTAGGACCCGTGGTGTTTGTTTTCCTCACATACAACTGCATTCTTTAAATATCAAGGCAATATTTTAAGAGACCTCAAGAGATTAACTCCATAATCTCCCCCACCCCACCGCCCGCTTGCAAAGGAAAGAAGAGTCGAGGATCTCGTCCAGCACTTTAAGCGTTAAACTCAACCTAGAGTCTAAAACGCGATTGGCCAAACACTGAGAAAAGATCTGGTTTTCGCAGCCGTGGGCCAATGAGCACCTCGAGTGGGAGGGTTTGAAGATACTAAGGAGTTTTTCCCCCCTTTTTTTCCTCTCCACCCCCTCCCATCGGCCTTCGCCCGCCCCCCTCCCAGCTCGCATGCCGCCAGTTTGTTAAATTAATGCAGTAAGAAAGTCTGAAGATCTGAGGGAGTCCTGGCCAAAGGAAGATGGGCGAGCTCAGAAAATCGAGATTCATCTGAAGCCCTGGGCTCCTCAGCCCCGCGGGGTCGCCATGGACCCTGACAGCCCCTGAAACTTGCCCTGAGCTCTCTCATGCCTGCAGCCCTGAGCAATGGGACACCTTTCCTGCAGCGATCATAACTTATTCGGCGGGGACCAGAGAACAGGGATCGCAAGGCGACAAACAGACTCGCACGCAGGCAGGGAAACGAGATTCCGGGACTCGGTCGCGATGCGCCAGCCTGGCACATTCTCCGGAATTTAACTGAAGGCAGCACCGTCAATCGCTTCCCCTGGCCCCTAGCCCCCTCAGGCCAGCCCAGGGGCATAAAGCCCTGCTCTCTCTACCCAAGATGCTCGCCCAATCTAACGGTCGGAGGCCAGCGCTCTGATCGCCACAGAAGATTTTTTTCCCTTGCATGGAGCTGGCCGTTTAAACAGAAAAACAGGGGTAAAAAAGAAAATATACCCACCCCCAAACGTGCCTCCCCAGCGCCGCAGGGAGCCAACAGACAAGCTGGAGTTTAACAAACAGCAATACTCTTCGCGCTCCTGAAAAGCAGGGCTGGACGCTCTCCGTGGTGCTGAAACGCTTCACGGCTGCCTCTGTCCGTGGTACCTACAGCCCCCTCGTTCCAATTTCCCCTGGGGCTCTCCCTCCGCGCCCCTGTTCTCCACCTCCCCTTAGCATCTGGATTATTTTTTCAATAGCGCTCGCTGGTTTTGTAAGTGCCAATTTGAAACATTTTTTACCCTCATAACTCGTGGACTACAAAGCACAAGGACCTGAAAAATGTACAGCTTCAATACTCTTCGACTCTACCTTTGGGAGACCATTGTATTCTTCAGGTATGCAATTTTCTACTGACCACATCGCTGTAATGGAAATGGGGGAAAGGAGCACTGAGGCTGACTCTGTCCGTTATCCCTTCATTTTGGGGGGAAGGGGCTGCTGTATACCGCTGCAATCGGGTCCTTCCATCCCCCGCTCCCCCACCCCACCCCTCCCGCAGGGTGTCTGGCTTGTGCGTGGAGGTCTGAGACAGTCGCTGCTCTAGCAGCTGTTTGCCTGGTTTTTTTCTGTGATTTGTTTGTCCTTCCATCTGCTATACCCCTGCCCCATCACTGGCCCCCAGCCCCTCTGCATATTGGCTTTCACTGGGCTGAGGACTTTAAGGGAAAGCTTTTGGAGTTACTCAGTTTAATTAGGACTGCATTCTCTCTAACCGCAGTGCCGAAAACCTCAGCTCTCCCGTCTGGGAGCCAAGTGACAACTAGCGGTGACGGGGAAGGTTGCACTCGAGCTCACTGGACACAGAACATTTCATTTTCTCTCCTTTTTTGTTGTTGTTTTCTTTTTCTGCGTGGGGCGGGGCGGGGGGGGAGTAGGCTGAGGCTTAGTGCTTGGAAACAATAGTGTTATGACCTCCGGTTGTAAAGCCCTGAACTTGGGTGCAGAGTGGATCTACTTAGGAACAGATTCTGGGAAAGATTTCCCTTTAGAAACTTTGACTCCCTCCTCTCACCCACTCACCTTTCCAAACTCTTACTTTGTTAGCTGCAGATCCTGAACTGATGGACAATTCTTGTTTGTTTTGTTTAATTTATGTCTGTCCCTGAATCTGTAGCTGAGTTCCCTCATCCGTTATCTCTTCAGGTTAAAATTTTCTGCCTACAGGCTTAGCATTCTATGTTAGTACAAGTGAAAAGTGAAAAATCACCCTCTTCAGGAAGCATTGAAATAGATAGTTCTTTTGTAAGTGGGTGAATCAGCCATCGTCAGAGATGGTTATGATAAATTCCATTTATATGAATTGAAAAAAATTATTCTTCCTCCATGACCCGCAGGGATCATTAATCTTCCTCATTTTAGATACCTGCCTCTCATGTTTTACCATGGCACTGTATTAACAGCCATTTGAAAAGCCCACTCTAGGTTATTTTTAAAAATAAGTAACCACCAAATATTATTCTCTCCCATCATAAACCAGCAACTAATTATTGCTTTTCCTTTTAACATTGTGGAGAATTCTGCATATGAATTGTTAGTTTGACTAACCTGTCGGTTGGTTTATTAAATGAATGACTCCTCCCCCAACCCCGGATTATAAGGGTCTATATGTGAACCTCTCTTCATTTCTTTCTCTTGAGATGGAGAAAATACCCCCTCCTTCCCTGAGATACCCAACGCTAAAGCTTCTAATCTCTAGTTCAAATAATTCTTTGATAGGCCATAGTCCTGCCCACAGCTCAGAATGCAAATAGTCAGGGAGTCAGATAGAATGAAAAAGTGCAACAATCCAGGGCCCTGTGAAATGTAGCTACTTTATGGAGGAAGGGGCAGGAAGTATCCTCTTAATATCAAATCCTTTCTCCCCTACATACATATAGAACTGTAAAATGCCGCGGAGGTGGGGTACTTGGTAACATTTGTATGCAAATTGATTCTCTGTTTGGCTTACCGAGACAGAACTGAACCAGAAAGATTAAAGAGCAAATTAATAGGACCAAGCACATCACTTCCCCCACCCCGCCACCACACACACACACCCGACTCCTTTTTTATTGATGAACAGTACGTTTGATTTTCTTCTCCCCGACATTGTCTTTCACAAAAGGGAGACACGGTCTAAAAGGTTTGCATTGTAATCATTTCGAGAAGGTGATGAATCCACTGTGCTAATTCTTTAAGTAAACTGGTGGTAGCCCATCAGGAAACATCACTCTACATCTCCTTCCCCTACATGTGTCAAGGCATATCTGAGCTACAATGTGTATGGGATTCTGTGTTTATAAGGAAAGAAAAGTCATGACTCTGGAGAGCTGGGAAGGGATTGGTACCACTGCACTTTCAAAATATAGGAATGACTACATCATCTGAGGAGTCAATGTTGTTTCAGAACTGTTCTGAAACATAAAATAATGAAGCTAGGAATTGAACTCGGGAAATACCCTCAGCAATTTTTCAGAGAGATTGGAAAAAAAAGGTCAAAAGGAGGGAAAGTATTATCCTTGTGTCATTGGCACTTTCATTTCTAACTCTCTCATTTTTTAAATTTTAGGTGAAAATACAGAAGCATTAAAATCTGGGGACTCAATAGAATTGTATGTGGGGGTAAATGGAGACTGGCAGCCTAGCAGGTTCCATGTGAATAACCCTTTCTCCCCCAAGGGACAGGCACCGTGTTGGAATGAGCCAATCCAATCATCTCAGGCACCCAGGTACTACTTAGATTAAATGATGCCAGCTGCTCACCTTGTTGGGGGAAATCTGGGGGCTAGAAAAGGAAAGGCCATCAATAACAGAAGTGCTGCTGCATTAGTACATCACCAGCGAAATGGCCATAATGACAGTAAACAGTAAAACAAAACAGCAGTCGAAGTGAGGCAGAAACCTCATATGGTGACAACACAGAGAACGCATTGAGGCCTTCAAAAGAGCTGACGGGGAGAGAGACATAGGGTACTGGGACACAAACAGCATTGCAGTGCTCATCAACTGTGACCCCATAAATAAAATGAGGTGATTTGGCTGAAGTTCCTCCTTTGGTATTTTAAAAGCCTATGGTTCTAAAACCATGAGTGACATCCTAGGATTCGATAACCTAAATTTTGTCTCTTTGTTTGCAGTTGGAGATGGGGCTTTATAGCCAGACTGGCCAAAAATAATAGACAAAGATATGGTTTTTGGGGGTTTTTTTAATGGTAGAAGCACATTCCTTTCAACCTCCTTTGCAAGCCAAAGGGAACTTGCTTTGATTCACAGAACGCTTACCTTCTAGCTTATGGTTGGAAAGGCCCAGGAAGACCCCAACATTTTTTATCTTCTGGGTAATTCATAGCATGTAACTGTGTTTCTCAGTCTCGGCACTACTGACATTTTGAACTGGATAATCTTTATTAGGAGGGCTGTCCTGTGCATTGTAAGATGTTTAGCAGTACCGTGGCCTCGGTGACATCCCCTCCCCCCAGTCATGACTATCAAAAATGTCTCCAGACCCTGCCAAAAATCCTGGGGTAGGGAGTGCAGAAATTGTATGCAGTTGAGAACCACTGGTATTGAATGACCAAATTCTTAATCTGCTGTTCCGATGTCCTAATTACAATGGGGAGAAAAGTCTAGTTTCCTTGAGAACATGCCCCCCATGAACCACACAAATCACCCCAATGAAGCAAAAAGGGACCTAGCTCATGCTTGCAAAGGGAATAAAGGGAGAGGAGATAAACCAAGTCTAACCCATGGATGGTTTTGCCATGCTTCCTTGCACAGGGCTTTGTGCCGAATATGACACTCATTTGTTAAGAAAGGTCATTAAAATCTTGAAGGAAAGATGTTTCTATTCACACAAGGGTCAAGAGAAACATGGCAGATAGATTGTTTCATATCTGGGTGCTGGAAACCCACCCAGTTGGAAGGTAAATGAGTTTTCTTTTGAGGTGCCCCCCTCTGGATCTCTTCCTCCCAGTAGCATAGCTGTATTTTCCCTCAAATCTTACCCGCTGCATTTTGGGCACTGCAGAAAGCATTTAAGAGCTTCTGAAATGGGCCAAGGACTTTTTTACCGAGGAAAGAAGTTCCTTGGGCAAGCTTGCACCAGGCCCAATCAAACTGTCAGTCTACCCTCTTCTGGGGGCTTAGGAACCTTGAGCAAGAGAAAAGAAAACATCACATCTTTTATTCCCAAAGGATAGCTTAGATACGGCCCCTAGGCTGGTAAATAGAGTTATGAATTGGCGCATAACTTCTGTGTATTTGCAAAACTGGTGATGACCTATCAGGGGATATTTAGGGAATTTATCCCTGAGACCAACTTAACTCCGAAAGAGGTTGCAAATGTGGTGCAGTGGAGAAAGCAGTTAGGCTAGGATTTGAAAGCCCCCTGTTCTAAAGTGAGCTCTGCTCCCATCCTGCAGCATGGCTTTCATAAGACTCTGCATCATGGGGACTCAGTTTGCTTACCAATCAACTCAAATGACTGATTCCAACACCCCTATGTTGCCTCCAGCCTGGGATAAGGTCTTTGTGAAAGACAGAGGCCCACACCCACAAAGGCTCAGAATGAACTTGCTTCAACACTGACGCTGCCTTCATTTCTTCACTAGGCATTTATTTATCATGTATTTATGTGTCCAGTCCCAAACTCTGCGCTCTATGGGGGACACGGAGGTAACAGATGCCACAGTCCCTGTCCTTGCAGAAAGAGGAGACACTGCTCCCTTTAAAGCTACATTAAAAACCTCTTTTCTTCTTCAGAGGGCCCGCAGAGCTCCTCTCCCGACAGCCTGTGTACGCGTCCTGCGACAGCATCGCATTTATGTGGGCGTCATTAACTTTATTTCCTTCATCAGCTGGCAGAAGCCAGAATGATTTTTAAGACGGATGGCACTGTCTCCCGCCTGGCCATCTTGACGCTATTCTGCAGGTTTTCTGCTGCTTTAGGCAAAGCGGACTTGGCCCAAAGGGCAGGAGACCTGGGATCCAGAATTTAGCTAGTGGCCTGACCTTGACAGGGTTCCATGACCTTTCTGGCCCTCAGTTTCCCCAGCTGTAAGATGAAGGGAATCAACACATCAATCTCTCTAAAATCATTTTTAACTGTGCCAGTTAAGAATTGTCCTCCTCCAATCTCCATGATAGAATGCTTTTGGTTAAAAATATTGCCTCATATTTCAATTGTTATATGAAGTAGTGACATTGCATTATATGCAGACTCAAAAGTCTGAAAGAACTGAGGACCTCATTAAGCAACTTCACTCTGGAGGGTTATCACATTCTAGATACGATTATTAACAAATCACATGGATATGTCTCTCTCCCCCAGGAAGTGCTTTGGACGATGAGAAAACAT